ACTCTACTCTACTCTACTCTACTCTACTCTACTCTACTCTACTCTACTCTTTCTAATTGTAATAATAGTTTTGTCCCAAAGGTGTTATGTTTAAAACAACGGAGCAATTTCCTATCCTATCTTAGCTGGGTTTGCCAAACACTTTAAATAAATTTTGCTGCTAAATTGAACCATCCAGGGGGTGCGCTACCCCACGCATTTAATCATAAACGGATTAAACTGGCAGAATCCCATGAAAATAAACCAAGCTAAACATTAGTTGAGCTTAGTGGTTGAGAGAAGCCAGAGTTAAAGTCTTAACAGGGTTAAAACAGTTCGCCAAATGCTAGCCAAATTGGTTGCAGATTTGCAATTTTTCTGTTGATTTTCTAAAGCAGAATTGAGAAGGTTTTATATTTTATGTTCGACGCCAAATATTTTTGCCGATCAGCATTGAGCCCACCTTGGCAATACAGGTAGCATTTAAAACCTTTCATTTAGTGACCGTTCCAAGTAACAACAGCACTGAAAAACACTACTTACGACCGTTGTTCACACTTAACGACCGTTGTAGCATCCCTGTGGTTACCGGATCAAAATTCAGACACTGGGCAACTGATTCATATTTATGACGGTTGCAGGGTCTTGGGTTTAAAAAACGCTCGGATATCTTGGGAAGGCATCCCAATTGGAACATCACTTTTAACTCCATGTTGCTGCAAGACAACCCATGATGGCACATTAATTGTACTACGATTTTGTGTGTGTTTCTTTGAAGCAAAGTTGAACCAAAGTTCCAGTTTTATTTTGGCTACCTGATGAGGGCTAGAAACTCCTTTTTAAAAAAATGGAGTTCTCCGGCGCCTAAATATCTTGCCTCGCTCATTCCCTGCTGCTTTGCACTGATTTTGTATGTATTTTGTATTATTTCAAGAGCAAATCTTCTGGTTGGCTTTTGTCAGTTTCTTATTTTGTTGGCCTGTTGGAGAGTTGAGGTAAAATTTTGTGAGGTGTTGAATCTAGCACTGTATTTCTCACTGGTAGCAACTTCAAGATATCTGGACTTCAATTCCCAGAATTCCCTAGCCAGCTTTGCTGGCTGGGGAATTCTGGGAGTTGAAGTCCAACTTGAGATATATCAACATGACATTATGGGTGACAGTCACACTGACAAGACTAAAGGCAGGCAGGGAGGCCCAGATTTGTTGAATGGGGTGACATCCCAAACCTGGTTAGCAGTATTCTTGATTGGTTTTCTTCTGCGACTTACCTTGTCAGGTTAATCCAAAAAGTTGATTTACTGACCCACAATTAAATCAAATAAAGCCTGGTGGAATTAATGAACCAGGAGTTGGCAGAACTAAGGTGAGCCATTAGGTCCAATACAGGTAGTCTTCGACTTACGACCACAAATTTTTGCTGCTAAGTGAGATAGTTGCAAAGGGAGATTCGCCCCCGTTTTATCTTGCCACAGTTGTTAAGTGAAGCGCCACCGTGGTTATATTGGTCACACAGCTGTTATGTGATTCTGGCTTTCACCATTGACTTTGCTTGTTAGAATGTCGCAAAAGGGGATCACACCACAATACCACAATCATAAATATGAGTCAGTTGCCAAGTGGCTACATTTTAGTCACATTATTATGGGGGACATAAGTGGCATGGTGCGGTGGCCTAGAGGTGGAGTTCTCACCTCACAATCAGGAGGCTGTGAGTTCGATCCTAGGGAGAGGCAGATATTTCTCTCTCTGGGTAAGAGTATATTTGTTGGGAAAAAAAACTGCATCAGCGACAGGAATGGCATCCGGCCATTAAAACTCCATTTTAGCTAGCTCCATTCAGTTGCCCAGATTCTACCCTGCAAGGGATTTTGTGGTCGTTAAAAGAAAATGATGATTAAGGGGACGTAAGTGTGAAGACAGTTGTCTTTTTTTTTTCCCAGCGCTGTTGCAATTTGAAACAGTCACTAACCAGAATGGTCGTAAATTGAGAATGATCTGCATTTGGCTATTCTGTATTTTTTAAATATGGGAATTCCTCTATTTATGACCACAACTGAGCCCAAATTGTCTGTTGCTAAGTGACACATATGTGAAGGGAGTTTTGCCCTGTTTTATGACCTTTTTCGCCTCAGTTGTTAAGTGAATCGTGGCAGTTGATCAGTCAGTCATCCAGTTGTTAAATGAATCTGGCTTCTCCATTGACTTGGCTTGTGAGAAGGTCGTAAAAGGGGGGATCACATGTCCCTGGGACCCTGCAATCATCATAAATATGAACCAGTTGCCCAGCATTTGAATTTTGATCACGTGATTCTGGGGATGCTGCAAATGTTGTAACTCTGAAAAACGGTCATAACTCAACATTTTTCAGTGCCATTGTAACTTTGAATGGTCACTAAATGAACTGTTGTAAGTCAAGGACTAACTGTAGAGTTTCAGGGTTGTTCTTCTCCCTTTCTGTCTCTATAGAAGGTGAAAACGGAGGCATTTCTAATTTGCCCCTATTTCAGGCGTCTCCAAACATGGCGACTTTAAAACGCATGGACTTCAACTCCCAGAATTCCCCAGCCAACTTCAAGCCAATCTCCCAACTCCACGCTGATCTTTGGATGCTTCATTTAAGGCCATGTTTCTCAAATGTGGCCCCTTTAAGATGTGTGGACTTCGACTCCCCGAATTCCTCATCCAGTATGGCTGGTTGGGGAATTCTGGGAGTTGAAGTCCACAAATCTTAAAGTTGCCAAGATTAAAATTCCCTGCCCTATTCATTCATCTCTATGATGTATTACAACAACAAACCAGAGACCGGTTTTTCCTAAAAATGAACATTTCTGGACAGTTTCATTGGAAACGAGATTAGGAATGCGCAAGAAAAACAGGCCACACCTGAAATCCAACACACACAAAATTTCATTCTTTGAACATCCTAATTTTGGAAAAACGGCTGTGGCTGAAATATCCCAGATAGTCCTCAACTTACGACAACAAGGACCGAAACGTTCATCATTAAGCATTGTTAAGTAGCGCATCAGCTGACCGCACCTGAATTTATGGCCCTTTTGTCATGATCATTAAGCGAATTCACACAGTTGTCAAAGCGAGACATAATCGTGGCTTACGACCTTCCCCGCCAACTTGTCAGAAGCTGGCTGAGGTAGTCACAAATTCCAAACATGTGAATTTGGGATCCTGCAATGATCATAAATGCGTTGAATGAAGGCAAGAGCTGTGGTGGTGCAGTAGTTAGAATGCAGCATTGCAGGCAAACTCTGCCCACGGTCAGGAGTTCGATCCTGATCGGCTCTAGGTCTTCCATCCTTCCAGGGTCAATAAAACAAGGACCTGGATTGTTGGGGGCAAGATGCTGACTCTGTAAACCAATTCGAGAGGGCTGTAAAGCACTCCATAATGCTTAATCATGGTCACGTGGCTGCAGGGCCACTACAACGGTCATAAAACGTGGGACCGGTTGGCACTATTTTCAGCACCATCCTAGTGTCAACTCGTAAAGCATTCCTGGCCTACTCTTGAGTTGCCATAGGCAGGAAGGGGGGTAGAGCTGATGGAGCAGCTCGGTTGCTGTGACCAGAAGCACATTCCACACATAACTTTCTCCAGATTGTATCCCAGGTTACCAGAGCCAGCCGCAGAGGCGTGTTTTCTACAGCCCGCTAAAGTGCTCCGTTGGAGAATGTGATTTATGACACGCCCTGGGAGGAGGGGGGGTGGAAACAGGGTCATAGGCAGGCAGTAAATTACGTGAGGCAGAGCCACCTGCACTTGGGAAAGTGCGGACATGTTGCTCCTAATAAATAATTGGATTTCTTTTGAAACCCTAACCCTGACGCTTAGCTTTCGCTAAACGAATGGTTATAATGCGAGGACTACCTGTATATCTGGAAATATTTCACAGGCCCCTCTTTTCGGAACAAAAACCAGGTGCACATTTAGATACTTAGAAGAAGAACTTAGAAACTTGGAAATTTGCAGACTGATCCGCCCAGCATCTTAAATGACGAAGTAAAACTAAAAGTCCCCAAATGTCTATTCGCCCCCTTATTTTTTGTATCTCAGTCACCTCGCATTTGATCTTTTCGTTTCCTACGAGATGTTTTTCTTTAATATAATTTTTATTTTCTTTTTTTAAGTCATTCCCCAACCTTCCCACCCCCTCACTTTAAATACACAACAGAAAGACAATTTTTCCCCCCAAGTCTAGGGTGAGATGAAGGAGAGTTGAGAATGGGGTGATGGATCAGCTGTTCTTCCATTCAGCTTTCCTTACCACCCCCTAGTTTGTTTGGTATCTGTGTAAGGGTGGCGGGTTTTAATTTTTGCGTCTCCTTCTTTAACCCACACGTTTACCATCTTCATCCAGTTCTCAAAATTCACGTCCATCTTTGTCAGCTGGAAGGGGAGTAGAAAATACGCCGTGATGGGAGGGAATCAAAAGATCGTCCCCTTCCAAAATAAGTGTTACAAAGGCAGGAAAGAACGTGGAGGGTTAATTTTTTTGTTTTTTTGTTTTGACTCCTTCATCTTATGTCTTTTTAAAACAAAACAAAAAATTATTTCCAGTTTGCTTTTTATGACTTTTTTTTTTTTGTTGGTGGATGTTCTCTCTCTCTTTCTCTCTCTCTCTCTCTCTCTCTCTCTTTTTTTTTTTTTTGGTTATTGTATAGAAGTTTTTTTAAGAGCTTTGGATTCCTAAAGAGGGTTTTTGTGTATTTTTTTCTTTTTTCATTTTTTGCAAGGTTTGTCAGCACACGGCACCTGGGACGGCATCTGCGTGTTTGACGAGAGTCAGTCAGTTGTTCAGTGTTCTTTCTCTCTCTCTCATTTTTTTTTTAAAATTATTTTCTTTTAAAGCCATCGGAGTTAGGTTTTTCGCGTCATTTCCCCGCGCTGAGACAGAACTCACGTCTATCAAGAGGAAAAAGACAGTTGAGGTTGTTGGGTTTTATTTGGTTCCCCAGGGCAGGAAAAGACCCAGCTGGGGGGTGGGAAAAAGAAAGAGGAGAGAGACGAGAGAAAAATAAAATAAAATAAAATTACGGGAAAGAGAAAACTCTCACCCTGTTTGGTTGCTGATCAAATCCATCAACAGTTCAGGAAGTTGTCCATCCGTCCTTGATGGTTTTAATATACAAAAATGGGCAGCGCATGCTTTTTTGAGGGTTGATGTTGGTTGGTGTGGGGAGACTGAATTTCTCACTTTGAATCCTTCCCCTGTCTTAAACTGCATGTCCTTGAGTTTATCTTTTGTTTTTTTATTTATTTTCCTTGTCCATTCTTTCTTTGCTTTTCGTTTTTGGCCTTTTTTTTTTTCTTTTTCAGTCGGTAACACAGTAAAAAGAGCGGAAGGTTAAGTGTTAAGAGAAGAAGGGGTGGAGGATGCGAGGTGTGTAAGTGTGTGTGTGTGTGTGTATGGGAGAGAGAGAGAGGAGACTTGTGAGTGTAGGATGGACGTCAAGATTGGCCAGAAACTGTCTTCAACGGGGGTGGGTGGAAGAGATCAGATAGATGGTAGCGCAGGTGGGTTGAAGGAGGGTTTGGGGCCACCTGCAATCAGGGGAACAGGAGTTATGGGACATGTGGGTGAAGAACTTTGGTACCCCAATATGAAGAGGGGTGACATAGTTTTGATATTATAAAGGGGGAGGGAAACTTCTCAGCATCATCAGAAGACATTAAAATTTAGGAGGCATCTTCTTGAGATGTTCCTGGCAGGTAGGAATGTGGTTGAAGATGCAGAGGGACCTGTCAGTAGCACAGGAGGCGGAAGACTCAGGACTACAGAAATAGTTGGGTAGGGGTTCTGGAGGAGGTCATGAGCTGCCAATCTCATTGGATCTGGCCACAGGATCTCGTGATCCGGGAGAGGGGTGGGGGGTGGGGAGGGAAAGGTAGGGCATTAGAATCAATGGGTTCTTAGGGAGATGCCTGAATGGGAGGAAGGGCAGAACCGCTCAGTGTGAAGAAAAGCTAGTAGAACATCTGCAACAGCCAGTGTTGAGTTGGGTACCCTCTAGAGAAGATGAAACTTGGTAAGGACCACCAAGGCTTCCACCAGTGGGACGGGGTTGCCGTTTGGCTCGACCTCTGGTTATTCTGTGGAAGCAGGGTAAAAATTGGGGTGGGGACTTGGGCCCTTGAAGTCAGCTGGCTGGCAGTGAGAAATGGGGGGAACCTGGGTCTGAAATGGACCTTGAAGCAGGACTGTTGGGTGGAAGCAGAGGGGTGGCCCTTGTGGGCGTCCACCCACCCACAGGTCTGTTCGCTAGTCAATCTCTCTCCATTGATGGCAGTACAGCATCCATCTCTATAAAGCTAGTAGTGTCGTAGAGGTAGCGTTACTTTTTGGATTGGAGTCCGAGTGAGGTAATTTGGATTCCTCTTTGGCAAACACCGATGCGGTTGCTGTGGTGGAGCTGGCCTTACGCCGGTGAGCGCTGGAGCGCAGGTGGGCTCCCAGCGCCTCCCGGCCATTCACGAGCACCTCGCAAGCCAGGCAGTGGTAGGTACACACGGGCACGCGCAGTGGAGGCGGCGGTGCCTGGCGCCCGAAGTAGCAGAGTGCGGCTTGATGGGCGACGGCTGGCCCCTCGCTCTCGAAGGCGGCCTTGCACTGGCGACAAAGGTACTGATGGGTCACGTCGACTGTAGAGATGCCGGGGGCCTCGGACACCTCAACGGGGGGCTCAGGTGTGGGTGTTGGGAGCAAAGGGGTGGGCAGCAGCCCCATAAGTGTCTGAGGTATGACGGGGTTCATGGGGAACAGCCCCTTCTTCATGCCGTAGAGCTGCTGAAAATAAGCCCCGGGCAGTTGCGCTCCGAAAAGAGAGGGGGCGGCTGCTGCTGCAGTAGCCGCTGCTGGCAACGGGAAGGGCAGGAACTGGCCTCCGAGCAGGGTCGGCACCGCAGCCTTCAACGTCTTGAGGTTCTTCAGCGTGGCAGTGGAGGACAAGGAGGATTCCTGGGCTGGATTTGAATTCGGTTCAGCCTGACTGTCACTGGGAGAGGTCTCGGGAGCGGGAGCAGGCTCAGTTAAGGGGCCAACCTGGCCAGATTCTGGTGGCAGATGCTGAGGTAAGGAGAGGCCTGGCTGGGAGGTGGCCAAAGGGGAGCTCAGGATCCCCGCAGAGGAAGCAGCCGTGCCTGTTCGGGTGGGAGAAAAAAAGAGAAATGAATCGAGGGGGGCTTCTGTCTCTTTGGGAAAGTGTATCCTTGCCAAACGCCTTCACCCTTTTCCCCCTGATTGAAATTGCAGAACCATTTTCCTGCCCTCCTCCAACCTTACCACTGTCTCCTCTGAAACGGGAGTCCATGTGCAGCCCTCGGTGCCGAAACGGAGAGGAGAGAATGGGAAATTCCTCGGTTCTCTGCATATCCTCCCCCCTCACAAAAAAAGAGCGAGGAGGTAAAGGAAGGAAGGAAGGTATGAAAATGAGGAGTCAGGAACCACAGAAGAAACTAGGAAGTAAGAATGCAGTTGACCAACCTTCCAGGTCAAACATGGACCTGAATTTAGAATGGATTTGGGAAATATCGGAGGACACTGTGGAACATCAGTGGTGTTCCTGGAAAAATCAAATGGGGCGTTCCTACGGCAGGGAGAATGTTATACAGTAAGCGTACAGTACAGTACGTTGTACTGCAAAGCATCCCATCGTGCAACTCAACCCCGAGGCTCCACAACTATCCCTGGATGGCCACCATTCTATAATCCCACTCACCTGGCACAAAAGGGGGCTTGGTCCCAAGAGAAGATGGCATGGCTGTAGGAGTCACCGGCACTCCCAGCCTGGTTGGGGAGGGTGCTCCTTTGTCCGACACCAGCTCGTAGCACTTGCTCTCGCTCTTGAGCTGGGATCTGATGGCCTCCTTTAGCCGAGCTAGGTGGCCGCGAGAAAAGAGGTGCCCACGGCAAGAGACGTAGAAATCGTACTTGACTTCACAGTAGCGGCATTCAGATTGAGCCTGAGCAGCGGAGGGGGCCTCATCACCGCCACTGGTCCCGCCGGAGGCAGCCTTGGCCTTTTTCTCTTTCGCCCGTGCATTCTGAAACCACACCTGAATCACTCTTTTGGGGAGTCCTATCTCCTCCCCCAGCACCTCGCACTCCTGCATGGTCGGAGTACGGTAGACCTCATAACATGCCTTCATGATCTTCAGCTGGACGCTGGACATCTGGGTACGATACCGTCTCTGCCCCAGAGAATCGTGATACTCTCCGCAACCTCCATCCATCATTCGATTCCTCTGGCCGCCAGAGAAGTCCAGGTCAGCCGAGGAGGAAGAGGAGGAAGAATCACTCAGCTCTCCTCCAGACAAGCTTCGGTCTTCGTGCTCCTTAGATAATTCTTCTTCGGTCATTTCTTCCTGGATTTGTGGTTCCATGACAACGTCTGGCTTATTTAGAAGGGGTTGGAGGTTAATCACAGAGAGGTTGGGTGTGAAGGATCCACCATAATGAACAGGGGTGTCCCGTGGTGGAGGGTTGAACTTTGGGAAAGTGTTAAGTTGTGCTGGTGGGGGCTTACTGGTTGGGGTGGTAGCACTGGTATTACACCGAAACTGGCCCTTTCGCTCACGGGCTCTTGTATTCTGGAACCACACCTGGACAACTCTCTTTTTCAGCCCAACTTCTTCGGAGATGCAGTCGAGCATTTTCCGGGTGGGGTTTGAGTCTTGCATGTACCAGCGGTAGAGAATCTCCAGTTGCTCGGGCAAAATGGTGGTACGCAGACGCTTGTCCCTGGGGGGTTCGTTATCTCCCCCAGCAACACTGGCTGTTTCACTTCCGGTGGGAGACAAGGTCCCATCTTCGTGTTTTCGCTTCTGTGCACGGGAAGGATCCGGTTGGACCAGGCGGTCGCCAAATGCCAAGGAAGTCATGTCAATGGGAGGTTGGGGACCTGCCGAAGGCAAAGGAGGACCAGCTGGCGGCTGATGACTAATGCGGTGGATATTGAGGAGGTCGCTGCTTGAGAATACAGCGGTGCACTGATCACAGGGATGGTTCTTGGAGGTATCTGGGGGTACAGAGGGGGTGGGCTGCTCTTCTTCCACGGGTTTGTCTCCAGCAGCATCCGTCTTCACATCCACACCAGGTCTCAAGATTTCTCGTTTCTCGTCCCCTTCCTCTTCCTCCTCCTGCTCCTCCTCCTCAGGCCCTTCATTCTCTTCCTCATCTCCTTCCACTTCATCCAGTTGATCATTGTAACACTTCTTTAGGTGGCGCACCAGCTCAAAGATGCAGCGGAAGGCCATCCGGCATTTTTTACAAGATGGCTGCACTGCGGCATTTCCGCTATTGCCCATGCTCGCTTCATTCCCGCCACTCTTTCGGGCTTTCTGGCGTGCGTTTTGGAACCAGACCACGATGACCCGGTTGGGCAGCCCCAAAAGGGCAGACAGACGCTCCACCTCGCCATCTTTGGGATAAGCGCTCGATTCAAAGAAGGACTGCAGAGCCTGAGATTGGAACTCGGTGAATTTGGTACGAGAGAAACGTCGGGTTGAAGGGAAACCCCCACGGGGAAGATCCGGGACTCCCGACAATGTGCTCTTGCCTTCCTCTTCCTCCCCTCGAAACCAGAGAGACTTCAGACATTCGGGAGGTACACAAGAAGTCTCATTTTCTGGTGGGGGCACGACCACTGGCAAGGGTTGCATCAAAAATGGAGGACAGAGAGAGGGAATCTCCAGCGGCATGGATGATTGCGTCACAGTGGCAGTGGTGTTCTCCATGACGGCGGTGGTGATGGTTGAAACTGCTGCCGCCGGAGTAGTGGTGACCACAGTTGTCTCAATTGGGAGCACAGGCGGCGGCGGAGGATACATACTGTCGTAACTTTTCCGGAACTGTGCAGCGTAGCGATTGAGCGCCTCAAAGGGCAGGAACCGCCTGTGCACATGCTCCTCATGGGTTTTCAGGATGAGCATGTTGGAGAACTGTTTCCCACAAGTGCCGCATTGCAGCTTGCCCACGGGGGGACGCAGGGGCACAGTAGGTGGCACGGTGGCAGCTTGTTTACCCTCGTTGTACTGGATCACTAATTCAAAGCCGAAATTCTCCAGGAGGGCTTTGGCCGCTGTGCGAGAAACCTCACTCCCTGCTTGATTTCCCTCTACTTCTTCGCCTTCGGTCTCTTCGGCTGCCTCTGCCTTGGAGCTACTCGCGGTGGCTGTGGGGGCCACTTCTTCTTTGGGGGGCAGGGTTGGAAGCAGAATAGGCGATGGGGTGGGCAGGGTCAGGGTTGGTGTGGCTAAAGCCAACTTGGGGGCCACCTTCAGATCATGTAAGTAAAAAGGGAGCAGCAGCTGTTGCTGTTGTTGCTGAAGTTTCAGAAGGGACTCCGGCACCAGAGGAAACGGGGGCAGCAGTGGTGGGGTGAAAAGGGGTGTAGGGAAGCGGGATAGTTCCGCCGTGGGCGGAGTGAGAAATGGCAGGGTGGGCACCTGAACGCAGCTGGGGGTCTCGCTTTCCAGACAGGTCTCGTTGGAGGGCTCCAGTTCAGTGGGGGACACGTCTGCCTTGCCCGCAGCTTCCATCTTGGCCACGCGGGAGCGAGTCTGGTGCAACACGGAGCGCATGTGGATCTCCAAGGTGGAACTCTGGTTGTAAGAGACCCGGCAAGTGGTACACTTGTAAGGTTTGTCCGAAGAGGGCTGGAGAGCCCCGGGGGTGCCAGGTTCCCCCCGAGAGGACACGGACGGGTCAGCCGAGGCCTTTTTCATCTTGTGGAGGTGGGACACCGAATTATAATGCACCAGCAGGATGTTCTTCTGAGTGAAGGACTCTTTGCAAACGGTGCACTTATAGGGACGGGCAGGGTCCAAGAATTTGTCCAAGGCGAAATTGGTGGCCTTGCGGTAGGACAGCGGGTGCCGGGAATCCGGATTAAGCAAGACGGGTGGAGAGGCCTCGGGAGGTTCCACGAGGACAGATGCTGGTGGCTGCTGCTCTTCGGGGACAATGTTTGGATGCAAAGGCTCGTCCTCTTCCGGCTCTTGAGGAGTGACAACCGGAGGGGGGGGAGGAGGAGGAGGAGGAGTGGGGGGGGAGTCAGGAAGTGGCTTTTCCAGCTGCTCCTTAGGAGGTGGGGAGGCAGTGACAGAAGGTGGAGGCATTTCAGGGGAAAGTACCGGTGGTGAGGAGGCTTTCTCCTCTATGGCTGGTGCTGTTGAAAGGAGAAGGAAGAGAGGAAAGAGTTACAGGACTGTCAATATCCCTACAGAATTTCAGCTAGGGGTGAAGGCAGAAGGCTGGGAACCAGGAGACTGGGAGTTCTAGTTCCGTCTGAGGAATGAAAGCCAGCTGGGTGGCTTTGGGCCAATCAGCAGGGGACATTGAGTTCTAGTCCTGCCTCAGGCATAAAAGTGGCTGGGTGACTTTGAGCCAATCACCAGGGGACAGTGAGTTCTAGTCCCAGCTTAGACATGAAAGCCAGCTGGGTGACTGCACCAATCACCAGGAGACGGTGAGTTCTAGTCCTGCCTTAGGCATGGGTGACTTTGGGCCAATCACCAGGAGACATTGAGTTGTAGTTACAGGCATTAAAAGCAGCTGGGTGACTTTTTGTTCAATAGAACAGAACAGAACAGAACAAGTTGAAGAGAATAGAATTAATAAATCGTTTACCAATAAAGGGGCTTGGTGCATCCGGTCCGGCCGCTTGCTCTATGCCGAGAATCCCACCTGGTTTGGGTGGGTCAGGGGGGAGAGGGACCCCAGGAACAACCTTGGTGGCAAAGGTCATTTCAACCGTCGTGGCCTGAAGCGAAAACGGAGACAAAACAGAATTAAAAGGCAGTAAAACGTTCCCCATTAAGGCAGTTCTGCCTGTCTCATGCCCCCCCCATCCGTTACCCCCAAATTCCCTCAGATCCCGTAAGACAGGCACCCATTCAACAGATTGAGCTTCTCCCCCCCCTCGCCCCCCCCCCGGCTCAGCGGCAGAGAAATTTCCAGGAGCTGCTGGGGGGGTTCGCAGGGGTTCGGGAGAGCCCCTAAGATTCTGTGCGGCTCAGAGAACCCCCAAAATCCCACTCCTGGCTGGCCCCGCCCATCACCCCGCCCCTCCCAGGGGTCCCCACGTGGATGCAGGTAAGAGCAGGCCGCACACAGAGGCTCGGGGAGGGTGAAAAATGGGCCTCCCGGGAGTTCGGGAAGGCCGGAAATGAGCCTGGGGAGTCTGTTTTCGCCCTCTCAGAGGGCCTGAGGAAAACCGTTGGAGCCCGAGGAGGGCAAAAACATCCCCCCCACATACACCATGTTGCAAAAGCTGACTAGGCCACGCCCACCATGGCCACGCCCACCCGGCAACTGGGCAGAGAACCCTTTGCTACAATTTTTGAGGCCCACCCCTGGAAATTTCCCCGACGGATTGAAGGGGTGGTTGGGAGCGGTTTAAGGTGTCCCCCTCCTCCCGGGGAGGGGCCCCGTGGCCCTTGCACCCACCACCACCAGCAGCTTCTCCACGCATTCGGGCACCACGTTGTGGACGTGGCTGAGATGGAAGTGGAGGTTGGCCCGGCCGACCAGCTGCTCCTGGCACAGCGGGCAGTGAAACTTGGGCTGCACGGCATGCTGGGAGATGGTGTGTGCCCGCACGGCTTCGGCCGATTGGTCGACGTAGTTGCAGTAGGGGCAGCAGAAGACCTGGGGTGGCAGGAGGAGATAGTGGAAGAATTAAAAAGGGGGATCAGAAGGAGTTAAAAATGAGAGAACCAGAACCCCGGAATGGGTTCAAACGGATCAGGACAGCCGCCCCCAAATGCAAGAATGGGGTTCGATTGGCACCTCTTTCCCAAGGTGCATCTGGAAGAGGGGCAAAAAAGTCAAGATGGTGGTGGCAACCAGGTCTGTTTTACGCGCACCAGACGTGCAACTCGAATGGCTTGCGGCAATCACCTTGTGCAGGGCGGGGGTCAGAAAACTTGGCAACTTGTTGGACTTCAACTCCCAGAATTCCAAAGGAAGGAAGGGAAGAAGGAAGGATGGAAAAGATAGAAGAGGAAGGAAGGAAGGGAAGAGAATAAAAGGGGAAGGAAGGAGAGAAATATAGAAGAGGAAGGAAGGAAGGAAAATTTAGAAGAAGGAAGGAAGGAAAGAAAAAAGAAAAAAGGAATGAAAGGAGGAAGGAAGGAAGGAGAAAAAAGAGAAGAGGAAGGCAGGGAGGAGGGAGGAAGGGAGGAAAAGATAGACGAAGGAAGGAAGAGAAGAAAAGAGGAAGGAAAGAGAAATATAGAAGTGGAAGAAAGGAAAAAATAGAAGGGGAAGGAACGAGGGAGGGAGGAAGGAAAGAAGGTAGAAGAGGAAGGAAGGAAAAAGGAAGGAAGGAAGGAGATGAAAGAGAAGAGGAAGGGAGGGGGAGGGAGGGAGGAAAAGGTAGAAAAGGAAGGAAGGAAAGAAAAATAAAAGAGGGAGGAAAAAGAAGAATATAGAAGAAAGGAAAAGATAGAAGAGAAAGGAAGAGAAAAGAGAAAGGAAGATAGATGCGGCAGGAAGGAGGGAAAAGATAGAAGGGGAAGGAGAGAAAAGAAGATAGAAGAGGAAGGAAAGAGGGAAGGAGGGAAGAAAAGAAGGAAGGACTTCTGGGTTATTCTTAATCCACCACCCAAGAAGCAGGGTTAAATTGGTCTTTTTGCCAAATTCGGAAATCCAATTAGACTTCTCTCAAACCCTCGCCGAGAGAAGAATTTGAACAAAAGCAAGAGAGCGAGGGAACAAAAGTGGGGAGGGGGGAATTCCAGCTCCCCACCTCGTTGGGTTTTGTTTAACCAACATGGAAGTCCCCCAAAAGAGCAAACCGGGGCCATCATCCACAGCCCTGCCTGGATCCTACACACACCCTAAGCCCACCCCCCGGGGGGGGGGTCTGTGAACCAGAGGGGCTTTCCAAAAAAACCCTTTTTTCCCCCCGATGGAGCTCCTGCTATTAAATCGGTATGAAACTCCAATCCGTCATTATCATTTGAAAAAAGAAAAAAAGGAGGAAAAGAGAGAGAGAAGAGAGAGAGAGAGAGGAAGGGAGGGAGGGAGAAGAAAAAAAAAAAACCCGGATAGGTTGGCAGCCAAAGTGTAGCGGTCCCATTATTAACCTCCTCCGTTCACACTTGACTGCACACAATTGTCGTTGTGTGGGTGAATCATCTCTCCTCGCCTCCCCCCACCACCACCACCACCCTTCTGCCTCCGCTGACAACGCTAATTAATTTTGAGTTTTTAATTCAGACGTGGCGGACCTGTGCATTTGGGGGGTGGGGGCAGCAGCGGGGGAGGGGGCGGTTAAGACAAGGCAGCCTGAAATTCGGGTGGGAGGCAGGCGTGGGAGTGGGGTGACCGGAGGGAGGAGGAAATGGGGCTGAGTTCCTATGCTGTTCGGATGCCGCCGCCACCCCCCACCCCCCACCCTTTCCTTACAAAAATCTAAAAAAACTGGCCCAACTCACCGTAGTGTCCCCCACACTTCCAGATCCTGCTGCTTCGGTCTCATCGCAAACTGTTAGGGGGAAAAAAATCACATTTGGCCAATAAAGGATAGAGAGAGGGGGAGAGAGAGAGAGAGAGAGAGAAATAAATAAATCAAGGACCGAAGGAGTGGAGGGAAGGAAGGAAGGAAAGATAGAAGAGGAAGGAAGGAAGGAAGGAAAAAGGGGAACAAAGGGAAGAGGGAGAGGGAAGGCAGGAAAAAAGGAAGGGAGGGAGGAAATGGAGTAGGGAGAAGGGAAGAGACAGGGAAGGAAAAATGGAAAGAAGGAAGGAAGAAGGAGGGTGGTGGGAAGGAAACGAGGGAGGGAGGGAGGAAAGATAGAAGAGGAAGGAAGGAAATGGGGGGAGGGAGGGAGGAGGGAGGAAAAGAGAAGAAAGGGAAGGGAATAGGGAGGAGGGAAGGAAGGAAGGAAGGAAGGAAGGAAGGAAGGAAGGAAGGAAGGA